GAACAGGTGTCAGACTGAAGCTCTGAGCAGAGGTGGTCGACACAGGAGTCAGAGCAGAGCCACGCTGCAGCGCTTCACTTCACACCAACACAGACGTCTGAATAACTGAGTCCCCAGGTTCAGAGCCACAGGGAGCAAAAGGTTTCAGGCCAAGAACTCAGGAGAACACAGGGCTGTTATATCTCTGACTGTGTGCACAGCTAAATAATGACTATGTACTCGACAGCTCCCTTTGCTAAACTTCTAACCATATTTCATTTATGCATCAATGGCCTCAGAAATAAAATCCCTGACATTTGTCATATCTTAACCTGTAATGAGATAGATGTGTTGGCTCTCAGTGAAACTAAGTTAGACACCAAGGTTTGTGAAGGAAAGGTAGAGATAGAAGGTTACAGGCTGTTCAGGAGGGACAGAAACAGTTTAGGTGGTGGTGTAGCTCTCTACATAAAAAACCAGTTTCTAGTTAATCGACGTACTGACTTAGAAATCTCAGACATAGAGACAATTTGGCTTGAGATCAACCTGCCTTTGGGTAAACCTGTTCTGGTGGGTTGTTGTTACAGACCAAGAAGGACAAAAATCAGTGAAATAGCAGAAATAGTGTCTAAGGAAAAGGAAGACAAAGACATTTTCCTGCTGGGGGATTTTAATATCGATTGGTTAGCAAAATCTTCTAAGAACAGAAGTTCTCTGCAGCATCATGGTGAAAGGATGAAAACTGAACCTCACTTCTTTAACCAAGGTCTGACTCAGATCATGAACCGTTACACCAGGGTGGAGATGGAGTGCGAACGAAAGACATCAACATGTATTGATCTCATCTTTACAAATTGCCCACAGCTTTGCTATAATGTGACCTCCGAAGTCACAGGTTGCACTGACCATAATCTGGTTGGAGTCACTGTGGAAAGATATATAATTCATCCAAAGATCATCTTTTGGGGGTCATACAGCAGGTTTAATCCAGACAGTTTCATCTCTGACATTGAGAAGGCTCAGTTGAAAGACATCTCTGAGGAATTCATCCCTGAAATTGTTTTATTCGTGTTTATTGAAATATTTTGCCAAATAGCAGATAAACATGCCCCTTATCCTGAACCAATCATAGATGGTAAGCTAAAATCTAAAATATTAGAAAGAGATACTTTAAAACGTAGAGCTATAGAGTCAGAGGACCCGGGTCTTTGGGATGCATATAAAAAATTAAAAACAGAAGTATCTAAAATGACCATGGAGAAAAATAAAAGCTCAGCTTCTCATGTAACCCCCACTGAATCTGATGGACATCCAGAGCCTGACATTTGTAGTTATGAAGGCCTATCTTTTTCAAGTTTTCTCATACAAGAGATAATTAAACAGTTTCCACTCAGTTCTGAGAAAGTTGATGTTGGAATGGTTAAACGTTGGCTGTTATCATTACCTGAAGACATGGTTCCTGGGTCTGAAGCCACATTACTTAAAACGGCTGCAGATTACATCTCTGAGCCCTTATGTCACATCCTCAGCACAATGAATCCAAAATAATCACAGATCCAGAGAACAAAGTTAACTTCAGTGCAGACAACAACAGACCTGTCACATTACTTCCTGTCTTACATACATTAGTGGAGAAAAGTACCCTCAAACAAAACTCTGAAGCGTTCATATCTTCCTGTGGTTGAACTGGGACGATAGTCATCTCTGAAGGAACGGCTGCTGGGACTCTGCTATAGCGCTGTTGGCTCAGGAAGTTATGGGAATGTTAGCGGGTAGGTCCCACTGTTCATGTAGTCATGTTAATGTTATAGCACTTATGATGTGTGCTTATATAAGTTAATGTGATGTTGTGGATTCTGAACAGTGGGATTCCCCATCCCTCCCTTGTAATGGAAATTATTGGTTTATGTGCTTTTGTTCTTTTTATGCAATACACTTCTGTGACAAGGTTCCACTAGTCTTAGGTGAAGGGTAAATGGAAAATAATACTTAGATAATACTATGTATTTCTATTTTAGCTTTATGTTTTTATCTCCTTTATACAAAACCTGACTGTTACTCTTTCTCTGGGTCGTTCGATCAGCAGACTGCACAACAAGCATGTTGTGTATGACTAAACTTCCTTGCAAGAAATAAAACACACAAAGGCAACTTGTTCAGGCTTTATTTCTCCAGACTCATGTTAACATTTCCATCACCCACTCTAACCCTCTCTTTATCCTGCAGTTTTTTACTGTCCTACATATTTTTCTGGAACCTTCATGTGTCAGTATAACGTTTCTGTCTCCCATATAACCAATGTTTTGTAACTTAAAAAAATTGTATTAAATTTTTAAGCTTTTGATTTCTTCTCTGGCTCCTTTTTCAAACCATCTCCAAGGGAAAGGTCTCCTTCAGGGACCAGGTTAACAGACCTCCTCCATAATGGCTTAACAATAACGGCCTTTCTGTGTAGAGTCTGCATGTTCTCCCTGTGCCTGCGTAGATTCTCTCCAGCTTCCTCCCACAGTCCAAAGACATGCAGCTTAGGTTGATTGGTGACTCTAACTGCCAACAGGAGTGAATGAGTGATTGTTTGTCTACATGTCAGCCCTGTGATAGACTGGCAACCTGTCCAGGATGGACCCCCCTGTCACCCAGTGACAGCTGGGATTGGCTCCACGACCCTATTCAGGAATAAGCAATATAGATAATGGCTTGATGGACATGAACGGGGAGGACAAAGCACCAGAAGGCAGCTGCAGATGCCTCGTCTGAAGCAGCTCTCAGTATAACACGGTTCAGTTGAGCAGCAGCACAAACTGCCGCCTCCACAGTGATCACGTAGTGAACACAAACCAATCATCACCTTAATGAAGGAGGATTTACTGCAGGTCTGTTGGATTAGATGGTGAAGCTAGTGCACAGCGCCCTCTGCTGTCCCTTCACTGTGCCCTACACTGGATGATTTCAACACACAACCTTATACTGTATGTGTCTAAATGATAACATGCAGTAACTTTACTCTTGTTTTCATGCTAATACTAGTTTCTAAGTGTGGGTACATGCTTGAAGCTGCTGCCTGCTGGATACCTGTGGACCATGATCAGCAGTGATATCAGTCATCGTTACTAAACAGACATATGATCAGGGATTCATTTATCACCCTCAGACTGAAACAGTCTTTACAATGCTGCACATTCCAGGATCAGACTATCTTGTTGGAGCGACCGCAGACACTTCATCTGAACCTGTGTGTCCACTGCTCTGGAGTCTGAACTGCTCACCTCTTATAAACACCATGTTCATGGGTATGAAATGGAGAGTATTTCAGCACATGTGACATTTTCCCATCTAAGTCAAAAAGATGATTTTGAAAACACTTCAGATTTCTCACTTCATCTGTAGTTTTAATAGACAATGCATCTTCCCCTGATCTGAAAGATATCAAACTAAATCAGTCATATTTACAAACTGTGTTCTGCAGGAATCAATGCATCAAATGTTTTCGCTGAACTCTTAATGATTTCTGGTTCTTTTCACTCAACCTTCACATAGAAAAACACATGTTTACACACCGAGGACAGATTTCATCTTCTGAATGTGGAGCTAAAGGGAAGTTTAAAAAAGTTTTTAAAAGAGTATTAACGGGGTTTTCAAGTAAAATGTTTTATAATTAAATGTCTGACAGCCTTGTGCACAGAGAGATAATGAAGAACGTGTGTTCCTGTTCACCTGAGCACAGGTAACACTGCCACTGATCAGCTGTTTATTCATTGATTAACTATAACGATTGATGAGTCTGAGCAGGACAAGTTTTCTATACATATAAAGAATAAGGACTAAGGATCACATGACCCATACCTGTGTTTCACTGGGCGGCATCAGAACTCTGTCAGAATTGAAACATGTTAAATATACATTTAATAAACCTGTTTCCGTTGTTTCTGTGATGCAGCTGCTGTAGCTCTGAGATGCTCCAGCATCTGTCTGAACTCATGACAGGTCGTCCACAGGAAAAGAAACACTGGACGAATCGTCTGCATAGAGACAAACCTCTAGAACAGTCAGTGGTCACTGTGCAGGTAGCAAGGTGGGCGTACAGGTGAAGCTCACATAAGCAGATGCAGGAAGACGTTTGCTGACAGCAGAGCAAACACTATAAAAGTCTATTCTACTGCTCTACTGTCTCTCAGTCGTACTCCAGGCGACATCCTCCGTCAGGTGAGGACTAACTAACAGTACTAACTAAGGACTAATTAACAGGACTAACTAACACTGAGTTCCAGTACTATAGCACCACCACGCTGTAGAAACAGCCAGCATGGTGGCGCATCCTGGATCATGTCATCAGTTTTTCAATGCAATGAGAAAGTGGATTTTGATGACGTTTTCAGGAGGGCTGGATTATGGAGGGATGACAACGCCTGGGCGGAGGTCTACGCTCTTCAGGTGCTTCTATTTACAATGTAGATGTAAAAACAATCAACAAACCACAAAAATGTATAGTTTAATTCTTTTGAAAAGGACTAGTAATGTTCTAAAACAGCTGGAAACAGGAGGAAACTGTGCACATCTGGGACTATTTTCAGTGGAGGATGAATCCATATTTGGTGCCGTAGAATAGTGTGTGTGGGACTGGGCCAAAATAAACAACAGTGTGTGTGTAAGATATATTAGTCTTTGGATAGACAGGAAACATTCAGTGTTGGTTTCTGTCATTTCTCATGAAAATACAAAATTTAAAATCTCACTGTCCCTTTTCTTTACCAAACATTCATTACAAATAATAAAGATGTATTTTTAACAATAACTTGTACAATTCATTAAATATGTACAGCATGAACAGCTCTTCAGTAGCAGATGCCTGAATGATTGATACCTTCCATGATAAGTTCTCAGTCACATCACGTGACCCATCGGAGGACAAACAGGAAGCGGGAATAGCAGCTCGCTGCAGTGGTATCTATGTACAACCACAATAAACCCATAAACAAAACAAGGACTGTGCAGTGTAGTGGCCTGTTACTCCTGCTGCAGCTCTACTTGTTCTTGTTGATTAGATTTCCCATTCGCTGCATGAATCGTCCCAGTTTGTTGTCAGTACCACTGTGTGTCTGATACCCCGGAAAGCCAGAGTCATGTCTGTTGAGGGAGGAGCTTTTGCCTGTGTCTGAGGGATACATGCTTGCCGCCGCCACTGACTTATCCATAGGAAGACCATCAGGACTATCCACATACTCGCACTGGCTGTAGACTCTCTCTTGCCCGGTTTGAGGGGCGGCGTCGTCATCCAGTGTGCTCCTCGAGCCTTTGTCCTGCTCTGCAGAAAGTTTCATCTTTCTCTTGCTTGAACGCTGAGAAGGCCACCTCGAGAATGGGGATTTGGGCTTCTCTGTCTCTGGTGCACTACTGAGAGAGTTCTGTGACCTGGAGATGCTTGAGGATTGACCTTTCTTTGTTTGTTCTGCAGCAGATGTCTGAGAATAGTCTGCCTCATGACATTGGTTTGATCCGGAGGCATTCATTGAGGCCTTTCTTTGGAGTGCCTTCTCCTCTCCTTTAGGTGTTTTCTTTTCATCTGATGAAAGCATCGAATATACTTTCATCCTCATGGAATTACTTCTCTGCAATGCTGGCTCCTCGCGCTGCTTCTGAGTGTGGTTACTCTTAGCTTCCAGTGCATGCTGAGATCCTGCAGAAGTGTTTAAGATCTTTGGAGCATTTTCTGTGTCACTGGATGTTGACTTCCTTCTTTCTCGTGGAGCAGCTGAGCCTAAACTGTTGGCCACCTTCCCTACAGAACCACGACGTCTTCTGGCTTGATCCTGGTGCTGCGATTGTGCAGGTAGGCTCAATTTCACAGAGGTCTCCTTTGGAACAGACTTCTCATTGCGAATCATCGCATTTCCATCATTGAGGGCAGCTGAGTCTGAACTATTGACACGAGTATTTGAACATTCTTTTTCTTCAGGCATCTCAGTCAAAGACTCCATTGCCCTTGGGTGCTGCATGCTAAGATTGCTGGACTGCAAATAAGAGAGTTTGAGTGATGGATCATTCAGCTTCACATCTAATTCGCCGGCTGATGTCGTCCTGGAGAGAGGTTCAGGCCATGTCTGCACTGCCTTTGGATCTGGGACCTTTTTGATGCTGTAGTGAGAGGCAGAGCGGTGGCCATCAGTGAGAACGTGCTCTCTTCTGTTGCTTTCTTTACCTAGCTCATTGACTTTGTGATTTGATGTTTGCAGGCTGTAACCGTTTTGTGTGTTTGGCACTAATTCTGCCACAGTCTGCCTCAAGTCAGGACCTCTCAGTGAAGGCATCAATTTAGGTCTTTCTACAGTCGGATATATGGATCTTAAGGTCTCTTGGCTCTGCCTGAGAATGGCATACTCCTGCAGACTGAGCCTCTTCTGCCTTGTTTCCTCCATCCTCAACTTTATGTCCCTGGACCTGCTGTGAATTAGCTGCGACTGATGCTCATTTAAGCCTGTGTTACTGTTATATGGAGATGTCATTGGGGATTGTGAATCACACGATGCATCCAGGGGCATCTCGTTCTTGTTAAGGTATGCGTCCATCTTCCACCTGTGGAGTGATGTTTCAGAGTTGAACGGTATTAGATTCTGGTCTGCACCGTAGCGACTTTGATGCCGAAGTTGCTGCTGAGACAACCTGTTGGTTAGCAGCATGTCGCCTACCCTCTGGTTAGATCCGGCCCAGTCGGGAGCAAGATGCCCTCCGATGTCTTTGGTTCCCATCCTCAGTCGAGTCATGGAGTTTAACTTCTGCAGTTCTCCACCATAACTGTGCCCCCTCATCAGATTCCCCATGTCGGGATAGTGAGATTGATGCAGCCTCTCCTGCATGCTCAAGCCCCTGGTCAACACGATACAGTTATTAACATCTTGAGCGCTTCTCACATTGTGCGTCACTCTGGACCTCATGTGAATTTGGTGAAGGGAAAGCTGGCTGGACCTGGGGCTATGCAAGGCCATAGTGTCTGACAGGGGCTGGACAGACAGCTTCTCTCTGTACAGAACCGTAGGCACTGTAGAGCGAGCGTACAGTCTTCGAAACTCCTCATCATAAGAGCAAACCAGCTGACCAGTGATCACCAAGACCATGCTCAGGTTGATCTTCTCATATGACCACGTGTAGCTGAAGAAGAAAAGACAGCACAGTCAACAGCAAACCAGCAGTGACAAAGGGAGATGTTGACCTGCCCAGACTCGCCTCCCTCTTTTATGAAATACATTATATACATACTTGAACTGATGCAGTTCTTCATGATCTAAATTTAAGATGCACCCTACTGCAGCTTCATACTTGGACATTAACAGCAGCAGTAAAATGAACCAGAACTCCTCCAGAGTCTTTCTTACTATTCCATAAAAATTCCATAAAATTCAGACAGGGGAGATGTTAAAGACAGGACTGATTCACCTGTATGTTCCATATAAAACCGTGCGACAGTCCACCAGAATAAACTTCTGCTCCAAACCTCCATGAAACCTCACCCCAGACTGGCACAGATACTGCTGTCCCTGGACCGTCCGGACACGAATGTTCTGATGGAGAAACAAATGAAAAGCTTCGTCAGTCACACGGTCACTGGGCCTTTTCAGATACTGACACTGCAAACCTTTAAAATCAGTCTGTGCTTGTGAACTGCATCAAATGCTGCCGAGCAGGTCGTAGCTATGTATTTCTGTGACACATCTTTGAACATGTCATCAGCTTTTTATTGCATCAGAAGGTGGAATGTGAATCTCCATGTTTAAAGCAATTCAAGCAGGTACAGGAAATGTTCAGCTTAATAAACAAGCAGTTTAGCTGCTGTGGCTTTGATTTGCCATATCTGGGCTGAGCTCCTGTGGTGACTTATATTAGTTTGCTAGACTAGATCAACCTTTCCAATATCATGTAACAGCTGAGATAATACTTAGTGGTGATGAAAGGGTGGAGAGAACATGTGTGTTTGACATGTTCAGCTCACAAAGTTGTATTGAATACAGCCTCATAGCTTTGAGTCCAGACATTTAGAGAGCGGTTAACTTTCTGTCATTTAGTGTATGGTAATCTACTGATTAATACTAGTTGTCTCTAAGTTGTATGCAGAAATAATGCTACTTTAAATTTCAAAGATAGCAAGTGATTTTAGCAGAGGAGTAGCTGTAGGGACGCCTGCCTGTCAGTCTGTCATTGCATTGATTTAGTCCAGAGTGAAATACTGTATCTTAACAGGTAAGAAGTCCCACTGAGAACATGTCGGTAAAGGGGCTTGAAACATGTCGAGCCAAGTAACTGATGTCATGGGTTGTGTGTGTGTTGCCGCTTTGGAGGTGCATTTTAAATGAGGTGCATATTAGTCTAGTGGATTTATTTCATACATCAGGGTTTTTAGGAACATTCAAAACAACATTACTAGCTTTAACACACACACACACAGTCTTTGTGTTACTGACAACTGCGTCAGTCTTTCTGAGGTCTGTGTTTTGATGTGGCTACTGGCTGAGCAAATGGCAGAGAGATCACAAAGGCGTCACTGTGTTCGTTCTGACAACATCTTGTTTGGACGGTTGAAACATCATCCTGACGCTGCTGAACAGGAAAATCCAGCCACGCTGACAGTCTGACAGGCCTGTCCTCCGGCTGCTGCATTTGTCTCCGAGGATAATAACAAGGAGAAGGCAGCTGGTAAATGACAGTGTTTCCATGTGGAGCACATGTCAGACATAATCTGGTAAAGGTTCCCTCCTACAGAGGAAAGGTCGAGCCACAGACGAAGCCTCCTCTGGCAGGGGGTCTTAACGAAATACAAGCCTACGGCTGAGGTAGCAGAGCAGTGGGCAGATCAGAACGTCCACTTCAGGTCACATTTAACTATTGTGCTGTGAATGGACTTGAAGCTAACTCAGAGTGCTTTCCTGCACAGCACACGACGTCTTTAAAATAACCATGTTGAATTTAAAATTGGGTTTAAATGTTCAAAAATCAAAGTCTATGGTCCTCTCAAAGGCATGTCCACAGTTGCTTGATGACTGTAACATTCTCACATCTGATGAAAGGGTGTCTTCCTACAGGTACCTGGGGATATGGGTGAATGAGATTGGCCTTCATTTTAGAAATAAGTCTTGTTTTACTTATAATATTAAGGTAAAACTTGTGGAAAGTACTGTCCCACCTGTGATTGATTATGGAGATATATTATATGTGCATGTAGCCTCCTCTATTTGCGAACCCTTGATTCAATGAACCATGCAGCCTTGAGTTTCATTACAAATGCAAAGTCTCTTACCACCACATTCTTTATGAGTCCGTGGGCTGGACATCACTGACCCTTCATCCGAGGTCATGCTTCACTGCTTCTGGTGTGTGACTTCTTGCAAATCAAGTTTTGTGTCAAGCCCATATTTTGTCATTTATTTTTTGCTAATTAGCTAATTAGAAGGCAGCAGTCCGAACACTGTGCCATCATATGGTCCGACCCCAAAAACTAAAGACGGGCCTCGTTCTCCCACCGTTTTAAATGGCGATGCTGTTGACCAGTGAGTGGTGTATCTCTCACCTTGAGGTCCTGGATGCTGACGCCCACCCTGTGCGACATGGCAAGGAAGCTCTTGAAGTGAGAGTGATCCAGAAGGATGTAGACCACCACCCCCCTCAGCGTCGCGCTAATGACCTCCTTAAAAATATCAATGTCAGTGAAGATGTCCATCGCGATGGCAATGACCTGGACACACATGAGGAGCAATATAAGATGAGATGAGGAGTCAAAGCTAGACATCTACAGGCAGGTAGAATCGATTATGCAAAGGATTTTCCAAGTAAAATAAAGTTACTGTTTGCCAGCACAAAGCTGGCAAACAGTAACTGGAGTCTCTGAACAACTGGTGAGATAACAAAAGACAAGAATCTCAGCGCAGGGTTGGCAAATAGTTGGTTGTATTTAACATTGAATTAGGGTTTTAAAGGGCATCCACAGCCTGTCTTCACTGATGTAAAATAACAGATATGTGTGGCTGAGTCAGGTCAGGGTGGCTCTAGACTCTAAATTTAACAGCCCCTTGGCAGTAAAAGTTTACTGACACCTAAAATAATTTCCAGCAACTGTTACAATAAGGAGGAAGCTGCCATTAGGTGACACAGCTTTATTATTATTCTGTTTTCAGGTCAGCAGGGTGGTCTTAAAGAGTTAGCAGGGGACACTATGGGATGGAAAAAGCTGGACGAGTTCCTCCACCTCAACCTAAATTTATGATTAGAAACCTGGACTGTTTAACCACAGGCAGGCTGGGTTTGTACTGGACTCTGGGGTAAGAAATGCCAATAAAGTTAATTGAACTGAAACAGAGGATAAGGCATTTTTAGTAAGTCCTGATTTTATACGACATGATTTAAGGAAACCCTGTGAAGAAACTCTCTGGTGCTGCAGGACGTTCGTTGCTGATTTTACTCTGTTTTTTTTTTTTTAGTTTACTACAGTGCACATCTTTCTCTGAGGGGAAAAAACACAACTGAAAGCAGAACGGACCCGTGGGGCATGTCTTCATGGAGTTCAGACCAAGTTTGACCCATTTCAGTGACACCATCACTGGGCACAGTACGAGAGGCTCCACCATGTGCACTTTCAAATGGTGGTATCTGCAAAATGAAAGTCCATCTCCTGCCCAGTCAGACACACACACACACACATCCAGCTGTGGTGTATGAATGATTAGCTCCAGCTCTGGAGACACTGAGCCGGCAGCGTGTGCAGCTGAACACCGAACAGGCCGAGACACGTTGGCTGGTTGATGTCATGTGTCGGAGTGAAACACGGCCTTGGTGCTAATCTCTCTCATCTCACAGTTAGCAAATTATCTTTTGTCTTAGCGAGTGTGTGTGTGTGTGTGTGTGTGTGTGTGTGTGTGTGAACGGATATGAAGGCTGCTGTTTACGTTAACTTGTGTGTTCATGCTGCGACAAAACCATTTGTCATTAATCTTGTAAAAGAAGTAATGACTAATAATTGGCCTCAGGTTCTTAGTTTTCTACCAGTGCTCTGTTGTTGCAGAAGGAGCTGCTGGGTACATGTCTGGTATTGTCTGGCTCTTCACAAAATGTTTGCTGCAGCTCAGTTTTTAATTTTGCTCTGAAGAGATTTTCCAAATTAATGTTTATTAGTCACTGTCAAACGAACACGAGCTGCTGATGGTGGCTAAAAAGCCTCACAGTGAGATTTAAGGGACAGAGATGAGCATTTTGGTTGCTGCAAGTTTTTTATCAATAAATGTTTTATTTTCACCAATTTTCCATTGAATAAGATTTACATTTGGTTTATTGACTTTTTTAAATTAAATGCATGTCACTAAAATCTAAAGATGCACATTCACAAACTGATGTGGTTTGTATTCTTTCTCTTGTAAAAGTACATTTACTCGGGTAAATTCATTTTTGGACAGGTCTCCAGTCTGTCACAGGGCTGACATGTAGACAAACAGCCACACACACACAGGCAGTTTAGAGTCACATGTCTTTGGACTGTGGGAGGAAGCCGGAGTATCTGGAGGGAACCCACGCAGGCACAGGGGCGACATGCAGACTCCTCACAGAAACAAAAAGGTCTCAGGGCTCGAACCCGGGACCTTTTCGCTTTTCGCTAACTGGAGCAGCTAATGGGGATCTAAACAAACAAACAACCAACAGCGACCCCAGGCTGCACATGATGATGCACCTTAACCCTAAAGCCCTGCACTACACTTACTTGATAGTTACTCTGTAGATTTTAATTTTACTCACAAAACCTGCCACTGTTTATAAAATAATGCAATATCATGGATTAGCTCCTTCTACAGCCACAGCATTAAAGCCCTGCTTACATGTTAATGTATCAGTACACTGTTCTGCTGAGCTTTTACTTCCTAAGTACTGCTCATTTTATTTAAGTAAAGCAACTCAGTACTTCTCCCACCACTCTTTAAGTCTGATGGCTAAAATCCAGCAACAGAACCATCAGCATCCAGGTCACCAAGTTGTTGTTTTCTTGCAGCGAGTGAGTCCTGCTGCTGCTGCTGCAGGACAGAGCACCTCTGACTTGTAGACGAGCAGGAGCAGATGTGTTTTTACATGTCTTATTTGAACAGAGCAGTCTTGCTCAGAAATCTAATACAGCCAATTAAACTCTAACCAAACAACTGTGCAGAACAGCGACCAGATCACAGAGCTCTTTCCCAGGATGTTCTAGAGGACGAATGGACTCAAATAAACTGTTAGAATTTTATTTCTCACCATCAAGGCCTTACTGTTTTTTAACTCTAATAAACCCCCAGAAAAGATCTAGAGGAGCAGAGAGCTCGGTCATCATCCATGGCATCTCTGCCCTGGGGAAGTGGATGCTGCAAACATGACTTGATGTTTCAATGAATGTTTGATTCTTTTTATTCAACATGAAACCATTTCAAATGCCATGAAATAAACCGACCCTCCTTCTCTGAAGAAGCAAGTAAAACCATCTATGGCCACATTCAAGGAGAAATTTGATGAAGTATCACTTCATTATCACACCTCATTACATAGCATGTAACCCCAGCAGCAGACACAGTAGGTGTTTAGAGAGGACAGTGACTGAGTGGTGTATGACAATATGACCTTATAGTCAGCAGACTGTAGCCTAACCCTGCAGTCTGCTGTGTATGTACAGAAATATGCAGTGATGTGTGTTTTCCACTGTGTACAGAAACGCCTTTCATTGTGTTTGTGCTATTGATACTGACACAAGTTAAAAAGGTGTGCAGCAAAGATAAGTCGTGTATCTACCTGACAAATGGGTTCGACTTCGCCTTCAGGGGTTTTTTGTCTAAACAAATTTGACAGTGCTTGGTCCTCACCTGCCTCGCCTCCTGAATCTGTTTTCGAAGCACTTCTTTAATGGTGGGTGTGTTTAGTCTGGGCGGGTGGAAGAGCAGGCTGATGCTGGTGTCCGTGCCCTCCAGCGTGACCTCTGGCCAGCCCAGGTCCAGGTCTGGCACCTCCTCGTCTGACTCTTCCGGGAAGTAGGTGGAGGGGCCGGTCTCATTGGTGACCCGTGTCTCCTCCGAGTCATCCTCCACAACCGGTAACTCTGCATTTTCCAAGATGAAGAGTATCTCCTCCTCTGACAGCAGGTGGCTGATCTGCTCGGCTCGGAGGAACTCCTCGTAGGCTTCTTTGCCTCCACAGAGCAGGGCGTAAATAGCCAGGCGGTAGGATTCTCTGTAGTGCGGCTGAATGTAGACGGGCTTGTCGTCTTCTTTCAGTGAAGACAGACAGGACAGGTTGGATTCCATGGATGCCAGACCCCCTCTGACACTATGTGCAACAAGCTTCTCCTTTACCTTCAGCGTGACAAGTGTTTTGACTGTTGACCATGCTGTTCAGACTGGAAACCTTAGATACAGGAAATCCTATTCAGAGGGAAAAGGCTGTTTACATACTGTATGTAAAGAAAACCTGTCTGTCAAGTGTGATTCACCACAGGTAGGTAAACAGTATGTGGCTACGTTCAGCCACTTCAGTCGCTTATCCCTTAAGACGTTAAGATTTCAGTTTAAGAGAGAAGTGCCCAAAGACTTACTTCATGACTGGTACAAGTTATCCTCTCCCTGCGGAGTCCAGGTTCAACCCTCCTGTCAGAGCTGGTGCCTGTACTGTCTCCAGCATGAACCAACAGCACTGAGGTGTGGACTTGAACTCTGTACAAACGAACAGCCTGTTGTACCTGCCCTGCTCTGACAGCTCACGCACCACACAAGCCCCGCCCACCTCAACTCACCCGAGTTTCAGACACAGGAGCAGCTTTGTTTACCTATCCAGCTGTCACAGTCCCTCTGAGCCTAGATACAACCCAATTTGTACATTTTAACTTTCATCTTTGCTCAGTGCTGCTGCAGGAGTCGTGTTACTTCCTGTCACCGACCTTCTCACATATCTGGGGTGGAGACAAGATCACTCACACAGATAAAAGGCTGATGTTGATAAGTAACGTTTATTGCCATCACAAAGCACTGAGGGGAAAAAACATAACATATCACAGACAGACAGACCTCTCTGGCATAGCGACCAGGGCAGGAAGTGAAGGTGTTTATTCACAGACCGGCTTTGTGAAGACATGCAAGTTAAAGCCACCTGGGAGAAAACAGCTGGTAATAAAGAAGCAAAAGCAGAACAATAATCTGGTACAACACAGTCCCAGCTATCACCCTGCTGACTCCCAGGTCATCCAGTTTAAAGGACAGTTCTGGTCTATTACAGCTTCTTTAGTAGTTTTATATACGTCACCATGCTGAAATCTGAATTCAGACGATCGTACAGGCTGTAAACAAGACAACAGCTCAGCCAGACGATCTAAACAATGGGAAGCCTGGTCAAAGCTGAACTAGAAGGTCAGCTCTAACTTGTGATGGACATTCTGGGTAATTTTACTGTTTGTGTTTGTTTCGTCTTTGGCTAACTTGTGGGTCTGTTTTTCTTTTTGTCACTGAAAGAAATTAAACAGTGTAAAAAGAGCCAAGTTGTAATAAACCAGAATTGTCCTGTAACATCTGCACAAGGTGTTCCACTAACACCGCGCAGTGGAAGGTGCATCTTTTCAAACACTGAACATTAACATCTACCCTGGCCTGTTTTAAAAGTTTTCCCACCTGTGTTCAAAGCACAGTGAGCAGCTGACAGATGTAATATCACAAAAAGACATCTATGATAGTAGCGACTGTAAAAGTCCACGTTAGCATCCTGTTCTGTAAAAGCTGGACTTCAACTGTAACTACGTCTAAACTACTTGTTAAAGGAGCGGCTCATGGTTTCACACTCATGCTACAAAGCAACGCTGCTAACAGCGAACATTTCCCCCTCAGATGTCATCGCCCTTTACTTCCTCGGTGGGGTCGGAGACTTCATGAATCTAGGCGGGGTGGGCGACTTGATGCCACGAGGTGGAGTCGGAGACTTTGAAGTTGGGGTTGGAGACTTGGGAGTCGGGGGTGGAGACTTGGGCACTGGGGTCTGGACCTTAGACGGAGTAGGAGTTGGGGTCTTGGAGAGAGGAGCTGGGGACTTTGATGGCGCAGGTGTGGCTGCAGGTGTGACGACAGGCGTGGCCATTTTGGGCGCTCCCAGTTTGGCCTCGGGAATCACCTCGCCGTGCTTGTAGACGCTGACGGTGATCTCAACAACCGCGCCGCCGTACTTGTTCCTCACGTTGATGCTGTACTTGCCGGAGTCCTCTGGGGTGACTTTGTTGATGACCATGCTGGCGAACCTGCCGCCGTCGTACATGACCTTGGTGTGCTCAGTGGAAGCGACCTCTTGCTCGTTCTTGAACCAGGTGACCTCAGGGGTCGGGTCGCCCCACACGTTGCAGGTCAGACTCAGGGACTAGAGAGGGATGAGAGCCGACACAAGTCAGTATGAATTCAAAAAGCGTCTTTAACAGTCTAGAGCTACTGAGCTACCAGACAACTACAGAAAACCTGTGCTATGGTTTAAGTCTCGATAAAAGCCGGTATGTGGTCCTGGAGCAGGTTGACTGAGAAAACAAAATGTATCTGAACAAAAGGTTCCCTGTGAAAAGTGCTCAAAGTGAGGTCTGTGCAAGAGGCCCCATGTTTCTGGGAAGAGACAACTGTGGTACAAATGTTACTTTTCAGTTCTTTGAGCAGCGTGAACTCGGCTCCGTTGTACCAGTGTGGCAGCAGAACATTTAGAGACCAATTAAATGATTAAAACCTCGGCTCCTGAACGATCTGTATGACTAGATACCAGTGAGTGATCTAGTTAAACCGACCCTTCACCATATGTCTCTGCCCTCATATGTCGTTTTGTACCTTATTTTTTCAGTTACATGTAAATAAGAGCAGGTGACATTGTTATGTTTTGTTCTAGGAAAGCCTACAGCTCTGATCCATGACCTTCTTACTACATGGCTGATGAAAGTAAACACCTAAAATAAATGTGTAAAACTTCAGCTGGCTTCATCGCTGTGATCCTCACCTTCTCTTCCATAATAGTGGCCACGTCGGGCAGACCGCCCATCACTCTGCCGCGGTCTGAGGAGAAGGACAACAGTTACTCTACACATCACCATGTTTGCCTTTACACATCTGAATGAAAACCATAAGAAGTGATGCAAGACGCCACCTGCTCCACTGTAGATAAGGACAAAGAGGAGGAATGTAAAGCTCAAACTTCACCGACTTGCTGGCACACACTCACGGGCCACTTTATTAGGTACACCTGTACAGTGTAACATCTCTTTATGAAGCTCAACGTGTTTCAGTTTTTGGTGAAATTGTCATAAATGTATAAATTAAATGCTGTTTATTATTGGCCATAGTTAAAGGTGATGTTGTACTGGACTACGTTATATTCAGAGGTGTCTACATTTTTGTCCTCCCCATGAGTTGGTCAGAATATTAGGAACACCTCTGAATATAATGTGGTCCAGTACAACACCACCTTTAACTGTGACCTCAGTGTTGTACACATGTACCTAATAAAGTGGCCAGTAACTGTATATTTCCTAAAAATCAACTGACTTGCCTGTAAGTCAAACTCAAACTGTTCAAAGAGCCTGTGAGGCTGCTTTACAGACCCCATCGTGAATGTACATGGTCCCGTGACTGATCCAGAAGTAAACATAATAGAATAAATATACCTGGGCAGTCGTAGTAAATAACAATCTACTCACTCTTCTCAGCAAATGCGGCTGCCCTATAAGACAAAAGGCGAAAAGTTTGATTTTATAATGTAGATACGGTTTAAAGATGCATGTTCACCAGCTACTGTACTGTCAAATAACTTACTTAAGTCTCTGGTACTCTGCACAGGCTTCGGTGTACGCTGCAAAAAGAAAAATAGCAATAATAAGCAAAAATAAATTAAAAGGAAAACGAGACGTTTGTTTGACACGAGTACTGATTAAAGTGTGTGAGTGATTTTTACCTTGTCCAGAGAGATCGAATGTCCTGACGTGCGTCTTGACTCCATCTGAGATCTCAATGGCATAGTGACCCTTCTCCCTGTCAGACGGATCACAGATCTGCATCCAGGCCATCTCAGAGGTGCCGCCGATCCTCATCTTCTCCGAGGAGGCGATCTTACTCTCCCTGCACGTTTCCATCACAGGCCACAGGGTTTAGTCAGACAGTCATACCAGTACACCTCAGTTTTCCACAGTGGGCTGTGTTCACCATCCCCGTGAGTAAAGACTGTCTGAGCAGAGCCGCTGGTATAAAGAGGTCCAGCCAACAGACCCACCACCACCAATCCACTGTAAGCTGTGAAAGCTGTGCGACTATTGTTGTCCTTTCAAAACTCTTTCAAATGATGGACAATGTAAAAACGATGTAAAAGTTTTTTGCATGTTTATCTCAATAAACGTTTCTCTCTGAAGCCGAATCAGTAACGTTTCCTAATCAAACTCGGTAAATAATAAATCGACTGAAGTATTTTGCTTTTGACAGCTGATGCCTGCAGAGAGGGGCTGATAAACCAATCAAGCTCCAGTCCCTGGTTGTAAAGTATTTAAACTTTTGCATAATTTATTGTCGTAGATTTAATTTTGAATGAATACAACTGCTGATTAATCAATAACCTGTAAAAGGAGCCGACAGCTGGAGGTCTGTTAAAAATCTGCACCTGCAAACTTGTGTGAACTGAACTGGTGGAGTGGAATAAAGAACTCAGACTGTACCTGTGTTTCCAGACGGTCTTCATCTCCTCCGTGTAGTAGTTCATGTAGCACTGCAGCCTGATGCCCTCTGGCGTGCACTGCAGCACCAGCTCCGAGGCAGAAGCACCTGACGCCGACAAACACAGGCAGAAACAACAAGCACAGAGTCAGTGTGTGCACTTAGGGAAACACATGCACTATTCTCCTGCCCTACTATACTGTACTCAGGCAACACTTGTGCACGTCTGTTGACTTGTGACAGTTTAATTTGCACTCAAAGATGTTTTATGTCAGAGCCTCAGGCTAAATGAAGCTACAGCTGCATGAAGCACAGAGGTGCTGGCTTCACATGTCAGGAGTGCACAGTGTGCACCATGCATGCACTATGTGTTATTTACAGGCCAGTGGGACCTGTCATCACATCCTGACTGACACAGGGAGACCAAGTCTGATCAAACCTACCAGCAATCTTTGCAATCGCATTGATGATGTCGTCAAACACTGAAAATCAGAGACAGGAGGCCACATTAAACACTGAATAACATGCTTATTGCAACAACAACTGACCAGTTCTGGACCGTGAAGACGTACCTTGGCCTGAAATGTCGAACACAGACGTGTCCTTCCCTCTGCCGTCGCTGAGCACGGCCTTGTACACCCCCTGGTCTTTTCTGGAGAACTGAAGGAACAAAGGTGACTGTGTCAACAACAGGAACTAACATGTAGGTTTAAATGTGACAGATACAAGGAACCATATGATTAATATAAGCAAACTGTAAATTCTTGGTTTGTATGTTCAAAAGTTTAGTAAACACACTATTTGAACAGCAGGTGACTGTTTATTCTTGCATTTTATACTGTGGATTCATTTTATGTTAGCAAAGACACATTGTCCACTAAGAAAAGCTGATCTTTATTTTGCTTTCAGGCCAATAAAACTGTGTTGAGCCGTAGCATCACTACTTAGGGAAATAAAAAGCAAGTTTATGTCACAATGATCAGAGAAAACATGTTTGCTAATTTGTATATTTCTTCATTTATTTAGATGCTTGATATCTGCCTTTTTTAATTAATTCACCATCATTTGCCACTGTGCACTCACTTTCTTTTCTTACAGGGGTCTAAAACAGTAGCACCTTTGTCCGTTCATTTCATTAGTGATTCCTTTCCTGAGTAACTTTTTCTAATACTTCCACCGGACACCATTGCTACTTGACACTTTTTACTGCTCTGACTCTTGATAATTTTAGAACGAAGGTTTTTAATCTAAGAAAACAAACACAACCAGCTGCACGGTTGAGCTGCAGTGCCACAGGGATGATGCGGCGTGGACAAAAGTAGACTTGTCAAGGTTACTGAGCCAAGTGCAGCCTTCGGACGTCTTTAAAAAGCATGTGGAGAAGACTGAGGCTGCTTGAGCTCGTCCAGACAATCAGGTGTGCACAGAGTTTGGCTTACTCCCACCTGGTCATCATTTTACGACTCCTGCCATAAGCACTACGTCGTGTTTTTGTCTCGGCGGTGGCGGGCCTGCTAAGGTCTTCTCACAGTTTTGACTATGTGAACTGATCATGTTAGTTCCCGTCTTCTGGGACAACACAGATCAGCTGATTGTGCCACCTGTCGGATGGGAAGAGCGCAGGCTCCAGACATGACGTTGGGGGGAGTTTCGGGAATGATCTCCTCGTCCTCTTTGTACCAGTGGAAAGTCGTTTCCTTCTTCACATTGGCCACCTGACAAACAGCAGATTGAAAAAAGAAAGTCAATGATGAGCATAAACTTTATTTCCAAGTATTATCACAATACAATCTGACTCCAGTCTAGTGGCCCCCGATGTGCACAGCAATGAAAACAGAATAAATACAAGTTAAAAAGGCAAAACCTAGACTAACTGTTAATGAGTGTAATGGCCCGGGGGGAGAAACTGTCCCTGTGTCTGCTTGTCTTGGCGCACAGTGACCTGCAGCGCCACCTAGAGGAGAGGAGTTCAAACTGTTTGTGTCCAGAGTGTGAGGGGTCTGATAAAAATGGTGAAAAGTATAGTGAGTAAAATAAAAATCATCAGTGATATGCTCTATAGAATTGGCAGTCAGCTGTGTCGGGGGACGACGCCCGTATATTTTGGCTTAGCCTCAGAAGTTTTGAACCTGCAACCGGATTTTGCATCCTTGTACAGTACATCCCCAGAGACCTCAGTCAGTGTGTCACGTGTGTCCTGAAGGTTTTTATGGCAGCCATTTATCAGAAAATGCTTTATCACCACACATCCCCCACCATGCTGTGAGCTTTATATATCTGCTTTAAAATGTGCCAAGACTTAAAAAGGGAAAGAATAGTACTCTGTTACCTTGCAGGCGAGCATAACGGTGCACTCCTCAGTGACAGTGAAGTACAGATACTCAGAGAAATGTGGACCTAGAACGACAAGTTGGAATCATATAATTAGAAGAGTCTTGGTCTGAGGGACGTAAAGAGCAAACAGGAAGGCAATAAAAACTAAAAAGCACAGAACAAAGGAGATGTGGTCTAGTTAAACATTCCCAGATCAAAAATAACCATGTGCTTCTCTGCCCAGGACATGAATTTACACCAGATTTAAATAAAATCAGTTCTTAGAAATCCTGCCAACGCAAAGACAAACAAATGACGCTGATCAACAGTGAGTTAAACAGCAGTGTGTAAATCTGAGTGTTTGCTTTGGTGGTGATCTGCGCTGCGTGGAGACAACTCGGCCGGTACCTTGCTTCCTGAGGTGCTCCTTCCTCTGAAACTCGGCCTCCTTCAGAGCAGCCTTGAACACTGAAAACAGAAAAATACAGGTGGATGAAGTCCAGCTTCCTGCAGTCTGCCTTCTACAAGTCAAATATGATTTCACTGTTTGAGGTTTCAAAGATATTCTGCTGATGCAACCATGAGCCAATTAGTCCAGCATCTGTCTTAGATTTGACCATTTTCATGGCCAGGATTAGTAAAGATTTAACACTGCAGGAGGATCATCCAGGCCAATTTCTCCAAGAGATTCTAAGTCAGGCAAATAAAACAAGCTTCAACTGATATCTAATACATTGTACTCGTCGTCCACTGGACGGACACAGCCTCACCTTCTCCCACCAGGACCAGGGAGCTCTGGGTTTTGGCCTTGCCGTCATGGATCTGTACAGTGTACGTGCCCTCGTGAGCTCTGGTGAAGTTCTCCACGATCATCTGGATGATTCCTGAGGACACGTCGTGGCTGATCTTGTAACCCTGAGAACAAAACAAGGTAAACACTTATATTTATAGTATTATTAATTTTAACAGTATCACAGCTTATTAATCTCACATCAGGGACCTAAAGTGTGTGACTGCACTGCAGGTACAAAATAAAAAGCCACTCCAGGTGTTACATAGCATTAAAGACTCAATCAGACATTTGACTCTGTTCAAGTATTTTACAGGTGCAAATCATTTCAGTTTGCAACTTACAAACATTACTGATAAATAACCTTTAACAGCAACAGAAAACAGAGCTCGAACAGTGTCATGTGATCAACAGTGTCATGTGGTCTCTGTGGATTAGTCCGACATCTCAGACAAAGTGGGGAGATAAACCTTGTGGGACAGATGGCAGGAAATCCAGCACACTGCTGCCTTAAAGGGGAAAGTTCAAGGTTGGGAACCGAAGAACATGCAGCACAAGTTATTATAAAACAAATCGTATAACAGGACACACACAGGTCTTACAGTGTGTAATCAAGTCTCTGTTTAAGCTCAGTCAGGATGAATGATGAAGCATTACCTCCCCGCTCTTCACCTCCTGGTCATTAAAGACGAACCTGTAGGACATGGATGGGGACAGTTTGACGGCCTGTACCCAGAAACGCACTTGACCCTTGTCCAAAATCTCATAGTTCAGGCCATGTTTCAGAGGAACAACTGCACACAAAGACAAGACAAGCAGGGAGGAGATGCTGAGGAAACGCTGCTGTTCAAAAGGCCGGACAGAGCGGAAAGTCTGACACAATAACATCTGCTGATCAAATCACAAAAATATCATTTTTTAAATTTCTGTGACACTGCTGCTGATGCACAGCACTCACTTGGATTTCTGATGGCATGGCTGAGCTCCAGCATGGTGTTCAGTGCTGCAGGACGGATTCAAGAAAACAAACATCGTCAGCAACGTTTATGACGTAGGGTTAAGACAGCTGGAGTTCTGGAGTGTGCCAGCTGTTTGCTACATATGGTTAGTGTCGTACCGTCCTCAGTCAGAGTGTGGCTGGCAGACACTCCGTCTGTGTCGGTGACAACCACAGAGTATCTGCCCAAATCATCCTTGTCAGGGTTGGTGAAAGTCAGTCTGGAGCTGAAAACAAACACAGCGACTGTTTAATAGCCATTAAAGTTAATGCAGTGACGCAAACCTAAAAACTGTAATGACATCAAAAGGTGCTGATATTTGGGAAAGAGCACTTCAGCTCTGTTTTGGCACTTTATTAATGAATCAAACCTTATTTTCACTATTTTCTGCTCATTGACACTAATGATAGGTAAAATCTAGATCAACTCAACTCAACTCAACTCAACTTTATTTATATAGCGCTTTACCACAGCACAGCTGACCAAAGCACTTAACATATCAAACAAATATAAAAACAACACATAAAAAACTATAAACAATAATATAAACACTAACACCACGGACAGAGTGTCATTCCTGATCAAACGCCAGTGAATAAAAATAGGTCTTCAAATAAGACTTAAAAGTGGGCAGTGAGGGGGCCTGCCTAATATAAAGCGGCAAGGCATTCCATAGGTTTGGACCTATCACAGCAAAGGCTCTGTCCCCCCTAGTTTTCCGCCTGGCCCTTGGTGCCTCCAGAAGAAGCTGATCTGCTGATCTGAGGCACCGCGATGGATTATACAGATTCAAAAGTTCCACAAGATAAGAAGGTGCCAGCCCATTTAAAGATTTATAAACAAATAAAAGAATCTTAAA